GCAACGCGTAGCAATAAGTACGCGCAACGACAAGCCGCGGGCGGTCAGTCCTTAAGTCCGTCATAATCACGTTCGAGCACGACGTTCGTGTCGTGACAATTGTTCTGTTTACATTATCGTAAAGGTGAAGGTGTTAAATAAAATAAGAGTCTGTGAATTTAAAAAGTGAAATAAAAGTGTTATATTCTAAACGAATATAAAGGTGTCAGAGTTATTGATCATAAATCGAAGTCCCGTTCCCCCGCGGAGTCGGATCCTCGTATTGTGCCCATCAACCAACCCCCGGGCGCAACAGTATCATAATCAATTATTTATCTCACGTGAGAAGAATAATAGATTAAGATTAGAATAACCGATTGTTTGACCAATTTCTCAAATCTTAAGTCTTAAATCTTATTATAGATGCCATTTAAAATAAAACTTATATTTAAAAAAAAGATCAATTACAATGAATTATTTATCTTAATAAATATTTAGTAAAGTTATCATATTTTTAATTTATGCCAAATAATTTATGATAAAAATGATAAATTTTTTAAACTTTTATAGAATAAAAAAACGTTAATAATTAATAATAATGATAAATATTTTATTTACCATTATTATTATTTATTTTTAGAAATAACAATTACAATATAAAATTTAGTATTTATTTTAGATGAAGCAGGATACTCAAAAATGAAAGATCTTACAGTCAATCCTTCACTAAAAGATACACAAATACAAATTTTAAATCAAAATGACCAGATTGAGACTATTGAATTTACATCAGACGAAATATTAGAAAATATCCAAATAGAGGATTCCACCGTGTAAGTTTTTCTAATTTTAAGTTTATAAGATTTATATAAAAATTTAAACTATGTAAATTATAAAAAATACTGTATGTCATGTAAAGTAAATTTTGATACTAACAAGGGAAACTCGCGAAGTGTCAAATTCTGATTTTAATGAAACTTGGTACACTTTGAGGTCACATAAATAAATAAATTTAGAAGTTATCAGTTGGTGCTAAAAAAACGGTTTAAAGAGATGAATCCACCCCTTATATGTAAATTAATTCTTTTTTTTATCGTTATATCTCGAAAACTATTCAAGATATCAAAAAATGTTGCATACAAAAG